TGTGTGTGTGTGCTAGTTTTATTGGTACATATTTGCAGTACACAATGATTAGATTTATGGCAGGGAGCTGGTACATGTGCGTAACCCATCTTAATTCTTTTTACTCCCCTTCCTCCTCCTGGCCTGCGAACTGCTTTCAGTGGCAGGACTACAAGTACAGTTCATCAAAGTGTTCAGTTCTGCTTCCCGCTGGGGTGCGTGGGCTGGCTGCTGCTGGGGCCCCTTCTGAGCGCTCGTGAGCCCCGCGAGCCCCAGGTCGGGGGTTACTCTCGAGAGCGGAAGGCGACCACGGCCGAGCCCGGGTTCCGCGGACTCCCGGGAGGGAGTGGGGCCGCACAAGCTCTCTGTGCTGCGGGCTTGAGCCACTGGTCCTGCCCCTCCCCCCAGGGACAAGTGGCCCAACATGAAGTCCAGCCCTTCCATCCAAGCCGTCATCGACCTCACAGCGGGGGCTGCGGGAGGCACCGCGTGTGTCCTGACCGGGCAGCCCTTTGACACAATAAAAGTGAAGATGCAGACGTTTCCCAGCCTGTACCAGAGCCTCACTGACTGCTTCTTGAAGACCTACAGCCAAGCGGGCATCCGTGGCTTCTACAAGGGAACAGGCCCGGCGCTAATGGCCTACGTTAGCCAGAGCTCTGTCCTATTCATGTGCTATGGCTTCTGCCAGCAGTTTGTCAGGAAAGTGGTTGGACTGGACACTCAGACAGAGCTGAGTGATCTGCAGACTGCGGCTGCAGGGTCCCTCGCCTCTGGGTTTGCTGCCTTGGCCCTCTGCCCTGCTGAGCTTATCAAGTGCCGGCTGCAGACCATGCATGAAATGGAGATGTCAGGGAAGATAGCGAAAAGCCATAACTCAATCTGGTGTGTAGTGAAGCATATCCTTAAGAAGGATGGCCCCTTAGGCTTCTACCATGGACTCTCGACCACGCTAATCCAGGAGATACCAGGCTATTTTTTCTATTTCGGTGGTTATGAACTGAGCCGAACGTTTTTGGCATCTGGTAGATCAAAGGATGAGCTAGGCCCTATCCCTTTGATGATAAGTGGTGGAGTTGCTGGAATCTGCCTCTGGTTTGTCATGTTCCCAGTGGATTGTATTAAGTCTAGAATTCAGGTTCTTTCCATGCATGGAAAACAGGCAGGATTTTTTGGAACTCTCTTAAGTGTAGTGAGAAATGAAGGAATACTAGTCTTATATTCTGGACTGAAAGCTACTCTTATTCGAGCAATCCCCTCCAATGCTGCACTGTTTCTGGCTTATGAATATAGCAGGAGGATGATGATGAGCAGGTTGGAAGCATACTGAAACGTTGGTGAACCTGGATGCAATACCTGAATTTGAGAACTAAGCTGTCCTTAGGGCTTATGGAGTACGAGACCAACATGAAATTATTTTTGAGTGTGTGGGGACTTTGGTTTTGTCCTCTTTTATTCTAAACGTCCAACTGTATGGAAAGATCTCTATTGTGTGTCACTAAATTTATCCTTATAATCACATTGAAATAGCAATGTTGTTGCTCTGGCACTTGGTGGGATATATAGGTTGAGCTCTGTGGCTCTATGTTCCTAATCTGAGAGGCTAAATATAGTTATCTCAGGCCTTTTTCTTAAACTTATATGTGTATACGCAGTTTGGGTGGTTATGTGTTGTGAATGAAATGCAGTTTGTTTCCCTATTTAGTTTCCAGTATCACCCAAAAAAACCAGAGTTGATCATGTTTCATGAAGATAGTATAAATGCCTATCCCTCCAGATATAGGGTCTGGCTTTCAGCAGGAGGTAGACTGTTTCAGCTCTTGCATTGCACCCTTGAGCTAGTTTAAGTTAGCTCAGTTGTCAGCAGATATTCTTCTCATATGTTATGCATTAAAAGCTTAACTAAATGCCTTCAATAGAAATAGTATGAGGCAAGTGTGAGTGGGAATGAGGATTGGAAATCTAGCGAGAATATTTTTTCCCATTTTATTTGCTTACTATATGACATAACATAATATTTGGTTACACATTGTATTATTTCAGATCTGCACACCAAGCAACAATATAGTAACTTGAAATATGTTAAAAGAAATTTAAATGTTTCATCATCAAATTATTTATCCTACATTAAAATATTTAGCTTATACCATTTACAATGTACTATATTGAGTTCTGAGTATTCAGACACTAATAATATTTAGGCTTGAGAACATAATTGTCTAGATATTTGATATTTGTTATACAGTTAGGAGAGTGATATTCCAGAACAAATTTAGGAGAAAAAACCCTAATATTCTCTCTCTCTCTCTCTCCCTCCCTCTCTCTCTCTCTCTCTCTAGGTCTGCCTCTCTGTAATCAAATCTCTGAATTTAAGGAAACATCTCTTTATCTTGTGTTCTTGTTTTCACATTGTGACTTTTTCTGGTATTCTTTCAGTTCATGCTGTGATATTTGTTTCTAGGATTGAAATTGTAATTGTAAATCAATTTTTTATGATGCTTAGCCTTATTTTAAATTTTGTTTTAATTACACATTGTGTAATTTTTTTTTGTTTTGGTTTTTTGAGACAGAATCTCACTAAGTTGCCCAGTGTCAGTGTTGGAACTATTGCCAGTTTTATGGTCTTCCTTATGAGGCCCACTGTCCAGGGTGTGCTCAGCTTCCTCCCAGTGATCAAATTTAGGCTCCTTGTTTGAAAGGTGAACTACAATCTTCCTGTTTCTTGACCTCCTCTGGGTTGATGATAATCATCAGTACTGGTACTCTCTGTTTACTGCACAAGGCTTGATGACTTTTTCAAGGTTGACCTTGAACTCAAGGCAATCTTTCTGCCTCAGCCTCCTGAGTGCTGAGATTACACGTGTGTGCCACCATTTCTGGCTCACGTTGCATAATTTACCCCTCAATTAAAAAAAAACTTTGCTGCTGTTTACTATTTGGTCTACTGCCAGAGCTACATGGTTTGCCTGTTGCAATGCTATAGTGATATTGTACTCAATGCTATAGTGATGTTCACCCTGTCCTAGTATTTACGGTACACCAAGCTTTAGTAGTTAAGTATCTCGGAAGGCTCTTGTATGGCAGTGGAATATGAAGCTTGCTCATTTTCTTCATGATCTCGAGGCTGAACTTGGAGGGAAAAGATAAATTATTTTTCTTTGGCACTAACCTCTAAAAAGGAGTGATAATTACTCCCAGGAAGATATTGTGTACATAATATAGTCACTGGAGATTTTTGATGGAGGCCATAAAATGTTCCTGTGTCCAAGGCCTGCATCTTTTAACTTGAGTAACTTCAGACTTTGAAATCTGTTTTCAAAGTCTTTAATTTGTAGGTCTCTCTGATATCTCCAGATTCGTGTGGAACTGCATAGGGGTCTTCTACAAGAACCTTTTTAGGAAGTAAATTATGTCAGTGTTGGAACTATTGCCAGTTTTATGATCTGCCTTATGAGGTCCACTGCCCTCGGTGTGCTCAGCTTCCTCCCAGGGACAGCAAATTTAGGCTCCTTGTTTGAAAGGTGAACTACAATCTTCTTGTTCCTTGACCTCCTCTGGGTTGATGATAATCATCAGTACTAGTACTCTCTGTTCACTGCACAAGGCTTGATGACTTTTTCAAAACTCCTTCAGCACATTTGGTATTACCAGCTTTTAGTTTTCATGCTAAGATGAAAAATTTCACAGGTGGGTAAGTAGCTTTGTAGAAAATCAGCATCTCATAAAATACTGCATATTCTCTGTGTGAAAATAATATCTCCAGAAAAGCTGTTATTATTTCTGCTACTGGGAATCCAGAGTGTTGTGTATATAGTAAGTATTTCTACTATAGCCTAGAGATATTTCACTGGCTCCTCCTCAACAACCTGGACTCTGAGCAGATATTAACTAAAACATCTCTCCATACATTATCACTCATTGATTACTGGGAGGAAATGCACCAGTCTTTGGACAAATGGTGAATTCCTCTTGTCAGTCGTGGTAGTTCCTGATGTTTCTTGGTGATGTTGCCACGAAAAAAGCCTTCCCCATCTCCTTAGCACTGGAGATATGAGATCTTCTCAGACTCAGATGCTCATTTAGTTACCAAGAGATAGCATGGCCAAGTTAGTCTTCTGAGCCTGGAGCTGGTTGCATGCCATCATTCTCCTCTGGCTTTATGGGATTTTAGCATACACTGGTCTTTACTCTGTGCTTTACTCTTGTGTTTTCCTCCTTTATTTCCTTTGCCATCTTGAGTTAAAGCTGATTTGGGTCAATAATTTCTTGTTCTACATCCAAACATTGTTCCTTAGGATTGATTCTCTTCAAACCCAGAACTATGCAGGAATGCCCCTGGATTCTGGGCTCTCTTTCAGTAAGGCAAGGGCTAAATGAGGCTAAAACTTTTTGGCAAAATACTTCCTTGGTTATTCTGTGTGCTGTCTATCACATATACATTTTTAAAAAGGTCTTGCTGTATCTCAGGTTTATAGAACTGGGTTATGACAGACTCTCATCATTAATCCATAGATGATCCACCTTATTTACTTATTTATACAATAGCATCTCTCTTGTATCTGTGACTATATCATGATATATTTAGTTAGCACTCTCAGTATCTATTTTTTGCAAGAGAAGCAATCTCACTGAGTTGCCCAGGCCAGCCCTGAACTCCTGGGTTCAAATGATCCTCTTGTCTTAGCCTCCCCAATAGCTGGGGCTACACATGTCTACCACCATACACAAATTATTCATGAAGTTTAAAAATTTTTACAGAAATGGTAAAATACCTATGTAATAGTTTTACTTTGGCAGTCATTTTTTCCACTTAATATTTTGTTTAAAAAATTCAAAAACCTTGTGGTGTTACCATAGCTCATTTATTTCAATTGCTGTAAAATACTCCATTTTGTGAATGGAGTACCCCTAGATAATTCATTCAGTTGATGGGCATTTGAATTATTTTCTAATTTTTGTTCTGTATATTCTGTCAGTATATTTCTATCTATCTATCTACCACCTACCTATCGTCTATCATCTATCTTCTGATATAACTGTGCAAAAGCTTTTCTTGGATATATGTATAGGAACAGAAATTGTGGAGCTCTCAGTGTTTGTCTGGGAGTAAAATCAATGCAAATTTAATAGACAATGCCCAACTAGACATACAACTTTGGCTGGAGGACCAACCAGAACCCAGGAGACCAAGGACAGCTGGAGCAGTGAGACCAGCAATGTTGAAGAGTCTGAAGCAGCAGTGAGGAGTCAGCAGTTGGGCTCTGGGGAACTCCATGGACAGAAGATCAGTCCAGATCCCACATCCAGAGGTCAAGATCAGCTCCATACTTAGCACAATTCCCATGGCAAACTTGGCTAGACTACACAGCACATTTCTGGGACCTGACATGCACACTATCACAGAACTGGAAACACCAGAGGTATTTTACTACTTTTATTCTTCCTTTTTTGTCTGATTGGCTATCCTTTTCCTGTCTGGTTAAAAGTTGTCTTGTTTTGTCTGTTTTGTGGTTGTTTTTGTTTTTGTACTTTTTCTTTCTTTTTTTTTCTCCTTTCTTTCTCTGGTCTACTTTTTTCTTTTCCTTTTTTCTTCCTTTCATTTTCATTCTCCTCATCTTTCTTCCTTTTTTCCATGTTTAGGTTTCTTACCTATCTTTTTCATTTTTTTCTATTGATTTTCCTTCTGTTTATCTCAACTGCTTTTTGAATTTAAACTTTCAAGTGAGTAAACATTGCCCCTTCCCTTTCTGATTACTTCTTCACATTCTATTTCATTCTTTCCCTCCTGTGTCCTCAAGTTTCCCAAAACTTGGGTGATCATCCTTTGACCTACAACCTTGACTCTACTACATTTCACCTCATTCATCACTTTGTGCTATCCCCTACCCATCTTAAACCACCCCACCCACAAATGTATAAAATCATTCCACTAAGGGGATAATCACTGCATAGAAGTAGGTGGCAAATGTTTGATTTTGTTATATAACCTTAGAGTTTGCTCCTGTGATTGGAGATAGCAGGTTAATGGTTATCATAGTTTGTCAGTAGTTAAGCTGTACTTGAAACTATTGTTATTACTAACTATACTACTTTAACCAGGATGTCATACATGTTATGATCAGTTTTTCTCCCCTGTATGATAATGTTGTGATTTATGGGGTTATAATCACCACCACAACCCAGTACCAAAAGTTTGGGTACTGAGTCAACCAGTAACTTCATCCTTTACAAATTGAGAAGGTAGGTTCTTGGGATAGGTATAAAGAGCTCCCCATACCTAAAGGACATCCCTGAATAACAGACATCTCCTAGGGAAGCCTCAATACTAGTTGATAAAGCTTATGAATTGATATGAATATCAATAAGCTCAATACTTATGATAAAGTTATCATAAGAAATTGGCAAGCATCAACATAGAAAACAAAATAAAATAAAAAATGGAAAATTTCAAGACAGGGAAGCAAAATGTAACTCACCTAGGACAAGCCTGGAACACAATGAGATATATGAAATTGGAAGTC